CACCCTATATCTACACTGTCTCATTCTATCCCCAGCCAAATCACACGAAACGAACCAACACAGAATATCATTACATACAACCCCTACAACACACGTCCACTACACAACCCCCACCAACGAAATACCTAACCAAATCGAGTCAGCTAGTGAGAGTTACAGCCCATTCCAAAGCCCCACCCAACACACACACACACAAAACACGCCACCCCAACACACACCCACCACCACACAACACAGTGTCTAGGTGGTTGCTAGGAGTCAGATATGGAGATTGTAAGGATGTAGATAGATAAAAGTGAGAAAGTAGGTGTCGTGTGAGTGTGTGTGTGTGGATGAGTGCGAAAAGAGAACCTCATCGCAGGCTGGTCACTGAGGGTAACACTTCTCGGCTACTGTGTAGTTGTGTTAATGTTTCTTTTCAACTATTGCGTGATGTGTTATGTGGATGGTATTGAGAGGTATGATGTAGAGTGATTATGGTGAGTGGTAGTAGGTATGTATAGCTATGTATGTATGTTACTCTATGTCAGGTATGTAAGTAGTATGCTCCATGTAGGTTAAAAATGATGAATGTATGTGAAGGTGAGAGGGATGGTAGCGTAGGATAAGTGACAGGGAGAGCGGACGAGGGTATATATGTGATATGAGATAGGTAGTGAGATATTGATAGGGTGACTAGGGAGGATAGATGGAACTAGGAGTAAATTAGAAGAGGAATAGTGATTGTAGAGTGGTTAAGATTAATCTCGTCTAAAAATGGAGCGAGAGGGAGAAGGAAGGAGTGTTAGAGGACAGGGGAGGGAGAGGGAGAGAGAAGGGAGGGAGAGACACGGGTGAGGAAGGAGGAGAGAAGGAGGGAGAGGGAGGGAGGGAGAGGGAGAGAGAAGGGGGAGAGGGAAGAGGTGAGGCAGAAGGAGGAGAGGAAGAGAAGGAGATGATAGAAGGGAGGGAAAGGGAAGAGGAGAGGGAAGGGGAGGGGAGAAGGAGGAGAGGGTGAGAGAAGGAGGGAGGAAGGGAGGGAGAGAAAGAAGGAAGGGAGAGAGAAGAAGGGAGGGAAGGAGGAGGGAGAGGAAGGGGAGGGAGAGGGTGAGGAAGGAGGGAGAGGGAAGGGGAGGTGAGGGAGAGAGAGAGAGAAGAGAGGGAGAGGGTGAGAGAAGGAGAAGGGGAGAGGAGGGAGAGGGAGGGAGGGAGAGGGAGGGGGAGGGAAGGAGGAGAGGGAGGGAGAGGTAGGGGAGAGGAAAGGGAGAAGGAGAAAGGGTATTGAAGGAATGGGGTGGGAGAGGGAGGGGGGAGAGGGAGAGAGAGGGAGGAAGAGTGAGGAAAGGAGGGTGGGAGAGAGAGAGAAGAGAGAGAAACACAAAGAGAGGAAAAGAGAGAGAGAGAGAGAGAGAGAGAGAGAGAGAGAGAGAGAGAAGAGAGGAGAAGACGAGAAAGAAGAGAAGAGAGAAGAGAGAGAGAGAGAGAGACGAGAAGAGAGAGGAGAGAGAGAGAGAGAGAGACGAGAAGAGGAGAGAGAGAGGAGAAGAGAGAGAGAGACGGAGAAAAGAAAAAGAAAAGAAAAGAAAGTGAAAGATACAAAAAAATACAAAGATAAAGAGAGAGGGAGAGAAAATAAGAGAGAAAGAGAGAGGAGAAAAAAGAGTCCACCCATTTTCTCGATTTCCCCCTTTTCCCTAAAGAGAGGAAATTCCAAAACCTAATAAGGAAATAGGTTTTCTGCGACAAAGAAGCGGTTGGTGCAAAAAGAGAGAGAAATTTAGAAATGTTTCACCTTCATGTTTATAAGACAAAGAGCGAAAAAAATAACGATTCTTAATGCCAATTAACATTTTTTTCCTGAATCATGTAGGATTAAAAAAATTGGGAGGTTCATGTATATATACAGATATATATATATATTTTCTACGTTCGTCAAAATGAAAAAGTTTTCATCTGAATAATTAGCCCCTTTTCCAAAATTATTTCCGTTCACTGACTAATCAAGCTGAGTAGTTTGAGAAGAAGAAAGAAAGGAAAACAAATCTTTTTCGTGAAGGTAAACAAACCAAAAAATGATAATAGTGTTCAGACATTTCTTATATATATATATATATATATATATATAATATATATATATATATATATATATATATAATATATATATATATATATATATATATATGTTCTCGTTATATATATGTATTGTCCTATTGTAATACTGTTGTAGTTCAGATAAGCCTAAAGTTTCAATAGAAAAAGATAGAAAAAAGAAAAGATATCCGTACATTCCCACATACAAAGATTAAATGAAAAGATATATAGAAATAAAAATTTCAATATGAATAGAAAAAATTGAAAGAAAGATGTAAATAAAGATTTCTAAAAAAAGTTAAATAAAAGAAAGGGAAAAAGAAAGAATGAAGGAAAGGATGGAAAATAAAAGAAAGAAAGAAAGAAAGAAGAAGAAAAAATATGTATAAGAAGACAAACACTTAGTTACTCACTCCTACATACAAAAAAAAGAAGAGAGAAAAAAAACCCAGAAAAGTAAAGAAACAAAATATACTCCAAAAAGAAAGAAAGAAAAGAAAGAACGAACGAAAAAAACACACACTCACATACCCCCCCCCCCTCCACACCACAGACGCGTTTGTGAACATACCTTCCCCCCACCCCCCAACTACCCCCACCCCACCCCCTGTGAGAGGAGAAACAATGTGCCAGCTAATTATTTAAGCTNTTAAATTATGATGGAAAAAAAATTGGAAAGAAAAAATGGGTAAATAAAGATTTTTTCCCTAAAAAAAAAGGGTTTTGAAATAAAAGGAAAAGGGGGAAAAAAGGAAAAGAAAGAAAAGGTAAGGAAAGGGAAAAAACCAAAAAGAAAGAAAGGAAAAGAAGAAAGAAAGATAATATGGTTCATAATGAAGAGGAAAACACTGCCAAGTTTTTTTTTCTCACTCCCACCCATACAAAAAAAGAAAGAGAAGAAAAAAAAAAACAGAAAAAGTAAAAGAAACCAAAATAATACTACCCAAAAAGAAAGGAAAGAAAAAGAAAGAAAGAACGCAACAAAAAAACCACACTCACCATACCCCCCACCCCCCCCCCCACCACACGCACAACGATTCGCGTTTGCGACATGCTTCCCCCCACCCCACCCCCCAACTACCCCCACCCCCACCCCCTACCCCCCATGTGAGAGGAGAAACAATGTGCCCAAGTCAATTATATATAGCTCAGGTTTATATTGACGACCTCAGCCTCACGCCCTATATCATCCGCATACACAAAAACAATATCTATTTATTTATCTTTATCTATGTCTATCTTTCTATCTATCTTTCTATCTGCCTATGCTATAATTTTGTCTATTTATCTCTCTGTCAGTTATTCTTTCGACGCTTTAAATATTTGTCTACCTATCTATATCTATCTTTCTCCTCTCTATCTACCTATCTTTCTGTCTCTATCTATCTATCTGTCTTTCTGTCTGTCTATCCATATATCTATCCAACTTTCTTTTTGTTTATCTTTCTGTCAGTCTTTCCATCTGTCTAAATATCTACTTACCTACCTATCTACCTGTCAGTCTATCTATCTATATATATCTTTCTCTAGTTACCTTCCTACCCGACAACATATCTATCTATTCCTGTATCTATATCTACATAGGCTTCATATTGCCATTAAAAGTGCGTTCTCATCTCATGAATTTTGCTTTCCCGGTTTGGCAAAAAAAAAAAAAAAAAAAAAAAAAAAAAAAAAAAAAAAAAAATACGGATTTACATAAAGCCAAGCCTGAATAAACACTGCATACCTTTGCGGATAGAATGCATATATAACTTTTAATGCAATTTTTTCTAGGTTAACGCATCAACATTTTCTATTTGGTGAAATCCACAAAACGTCAGTATAGAAAACTGAATCAAAAAAAAAAAAAAAAAAAAAAAAAAAAAAAAAATGTTGCTGTTTTGGCAAAAAAACATTTGACATTTGAATCTATGCATTTTCAGTAGGGGGAAAATAATCAAATGGATAGGTGTAGATATATTTGCATGTATGCTAATAAACAAACTATGTAGGTGTGTGTGTGTGTGTGTGTGTGTGTGTGTGTGTGTGTGTGTGTTGTGTGTGTGTGTGTGTGTGTGTGTGTGTGTGTGTGTGGTGTGTGTGTGAGTGTGTGCGGGAGTGTGTGTTTTTTTAAGTATTTTTTGTTCGTTTGCTTGTTTGTATGTTATGTATCTGTGTATGTGTGTTTGGTGGTGTTTTGTGTTGTTTGTTTGTATGTAGTTGTGTGTGAGTGTGTGTGGTGTTGTGTGTGTGTGTGTTTGTATGTGTGTGTGTGTGTATCTGTGTGTGTGTGTTTGTGTACAGTATATGTATTCATCCGTATGCACATATGCGTGTATGTACATATGCACGTATACATTTCTGAGTATGCGTCTTACCTCCGGAGCTTACAAAGACACACAGACAAACAGACTGACAAAAAAAAAAAAAAAAAAAAAAAACTATACAGATTCACAGGAACAAATAAAAGAATAAAAAGTAAGAACATCCACACACTGACACACCATAGACCTCGAACATATCCACCCACGAATGACCATTGCAGAACACACATCTCTTTAATCTCCTTTCAAAACCACACGTCACACTCTCCTGTATTGTACTTCCTCTATGTTTTTTATTTTTATTTTATTTTATTTTTTTTTTTTCATGTTCTTTCATCTTCGCTTGTTACTTAGGTTAGTAATTCCTCTGTTTATGTGTATCTTTTCTTGTCTTGTCACTTGCCTGACACTCTTCAAATGAACATTCATTCATTATTATTCCTCTCTGTGTGAAACTGTCATTTGTGCTTTTATTCTTATGTTTGTCACAATTCCGTTTAATGTACACGATTATAAACATAAGATATTATCTCTATCTATCTATCTGTATATTCATCTCTCTCTCCTCTCTCTCTCTCTCTTCTCTCTCTCTCCTCTCTGAATCTCTCCTCGCTCTTTCTCTCCATCTCTCCCTATCTCTGTCTTCTATCTCTCTTTCCTCTCTCTTCCTCTCTCTCTCTCTCTCTCTCCTCCTCCTCTCTCTTCTCTCTCTCTCTCTCTCTCTCTCTCTCTCTCTTCTCTCTCTCTCTCCTCTCCTCTCTGTCTTCTCTCTCTCTCTCTCTCTCTCTCTCTCTCTCTCTCTCTCCTCTCCTCTCTCTCTCTCCCTCGTCTCCTCTCTCCTCTCCTCATTTTAAATTGTTTTAGTTCCCCCTTGAAAATTATCTAAAACTCTCCATATGCTATTGCTCATGATAGATAATAATGATGTAATTTAATTCTAATGATAAGTGTATGTTATAGCATCATTATATAAGTATATAACCATCTAACTTTGTAAATATAATTATGCACGATTATTCTGACTACCAACGAAAAATCTAAAATCTGTAACTTGTTCCTCTCACATTTTAACGAGCTTCTTAAAGTTAATAGCATAAGTTTTCATTCTTCATATTTTGTAAAATATGCTTTAAAATGTGTATAAACCATTCGTCTTTTCTACATAGCATTTAATTTTGTTTACCAAGGCAGTAAATCGCATGAGTTCAGGTATTTTTTTTCACATACACAATAAATATCACTATTGCTTTATTTACATGTTTACCTCTAAGAATATGATGTAAAAGGGGATATGCTTTGTTATTTTTACGTTTATTAAGCAGATAGCAATATTCATCACATTGTTCAGGGACAACAAGGAAAAGGGAAAAGGAATGAAGTAGATTGAGGGAAAGAGAAGGGGGTGAAAGAAACAAGAAAACAAAACGAAACTGAGAGAAAATAAAGATGAGGTAAAAATACTTTTATTTGTCTTCATCCTCTCTCTCTCTCTGTCTTGTTCCACCCCCCCTCTCGTTCTCTCTCGTCTCACATCATCTCGTCCCTCCTGGCTCTCTCTTCTCAGCAGTCTCTCTCTCTGCTCTCCCCCCTCCTCTCCACTTCCCCTCTCTCTCCTTGCTTTTTCTTTCAACACCCTCACTGCCGCCCCCTCTCCTCCCCCTCTCGCTTTCCCTCACACACCCCCTCTCACTCTCTCCTTCTACACTGTCTCTTTATATCTCACCTTCACCCTGTTAAAAAAAACAAAACACCAAAAAAGCAAAAAAAAAGAAAAATATATATATAAAAAAAAAAAGAAAAAGGAAGAAAGGAAAGATGACCATAGACCGATAAAGAGCGCAATCCCCACCCCTGCTTTTTGCTACGGGTAGCGACCCCCTCCCCTCCCCTTCCCCTTCCCCCCCCACCCCCCCTCCTCCAGCAGACAAGGAAGTCTCCGAAGGAAAAACGAAATTAGATTTAAATTTTCCCCCCCAACATCTCACCGAGGTCGAGGGAAAAGAGAAATGTCATATCCCAGTCAGCGAAGGTCCTATCATTTCGGTGGAAAATGTTGTGCTCGTATTTTTTTTTATTTTTATTTTTTTTTAGATTCATTTTCGGCCGAAAAATCACGGTGATGGGAACGAATAGCTGAGGATGTGGATGTTGATAGATTTTTCCTTTTTTTCGCTTCCATAGTTTCCAAGAATAGACATTCACAACACCTAAAATAACCGGAAAAAAAAAGAATTGATTACCAAGGCAAATCCACACGACTGACTCCACAGCCTATCACGCTTGGAAAACCTAAGCTTTTAAGCCTTTGTTTATAGAAGAACGCCATTTCTCACGCTTAATTCCGGACTAGTGAAGAGAAATGACCTTTTGGAATTGGATTTTCAAGGATTTTAGGATCGCTTATCGAAATCGGTCGGTAATCTTGGTGTGGATTTCATGAGTTGGCAACATTTTTCTTTTCTAACTCTTGATTACACCTCATTTGAACAATTAGCACCGTAATTAACACCGCTATGTTTGGTAATTGAGACACGGGGGGGGGGGGGGGAGAAATTAGACGGGAGAGTGGGAGAAATAACAACAACAATAACAACAACAATAACAACAACAACAACAATAACAACAACAAATATAACCATAACCTTAATGAATCCCTCCCTTTTGATTACAATAAACAAACACACAAAAAAATCCATCTATCGTAGATTTCCTAGAGTGATATCTATCTTCAAATACAACTTAAAGGTGGATTTTGAAGCTCTACCTTGTTATCCATTTAATCAAAATATCCAATCTATCGTAGATTTCATAGAGTAATATTTACCTTCACATATAACTTAAGGGTGGATTTTGAAGCTCCGGCGTGGTCACGTGTTATTCATTTGATTAAAATATCTGAAAAATAACACGTTTTTTCCGCAACTGGCACCATAACATGTATTGTGGCACTATAATTGGATCCCAAAACGTCATCTTGGCTAACATATCTATTCATATATTTATCTATATTCATATCTATTTATCGGTCTGTCAGTCCATCTATCTATCCTCCTATCTGCCTATATATTCATTCGTTTTATGTCTATCTATCTATCGATCTATCTATCTACCTGTATGTATATATGTCTACCTGATCTACCAATCGGATCGTATTACCTCACTGTATGCTATATATGTCGTACCCTGCCTATCGTCTCTCTGTCCCGTCCTCTCTCCTGTCCTGTCTCGTCCCTCTCTCTCTCTCTCGTCTCCCCGTCTCTCTTCCTCTTTCCTTCGCTCTCTCCCCCTAATCTCTCTCGTCTCCTTCTCTCTCCTCTTCTCTCTCTCTCTCTCTCTCTCTCCCTCTCTCTCCACCTTTCCTCTATCTCACCCTCGTCCCTATACACTACATCACACTGCCACGTCAACCATACATACAAACATGCTTACTACATACATATACAGTACCCCATCACCCGGCTATATCGCAATCATACATACATACTACATTACCTAGCTTCATACCTACATATGTAACATATATATACAGTACATAGCGCAATACGAATACGTTACCATACATAACAGCGCGTTTGAGCGTTTCCCGCCCCCCAGACATCCGTTCATAGTGAAAGATGCACCTGTACCGTTTGCTCCTCGTTCACCAATCCTGGGTACTTCTGCCTCCTGGTGCGTTCAGATTGACGAGGATCAAGTGGCCACCCATGAGAAAGAAGAGAGAGAATCGAGCATCCTCCCACCCACTCCTACACGAGCACACAAGAGAGCGCGGAGAGAGAGGGGAGCGCTAGCGACGGCGCGAGAGCTGAGAGAGGAGGGATGCGGCGACCCTCTCGCCGCCCGCAGCTGCAGACGAGGGTAGGGAGGAAGAGAAAGAAGAGAAGTGAGAGAGAGAAAAAGAGAAAAATAAAAAGAAAGAAACACAGAGAAAAAAAAGAAGAAAAAATAAAGAAAACACACAACACAGACCACACCACCCCACAACACAGGGGGGAGACACACACCCACACAACTGTGTGAGTTGGTGTGTGTCAGCACACACACACCACACCACACCCACGCAACAACACACACACACACACAACACACGGCAGCCACACGAGACGACAAGCAGAGCATCAAACACACAAAAAAAAAAAGTAATAATATACGGCCAGCGCAAATAGATAGCGCAGAAGCATCGAACATCACACGAACAATCAAGAACAACGAACCACAAGAGAAACCTTAACGAACGGAGTAGAGAGAGAGAGAGAAGAACTAGCCCAGAGAGAGAGGAGAAGAACCCGCACGAAACGCAGACCAAGAGGAGAGGAACGAAGGAAAAAACGCAAACACCCAAGGAACGATCAGCACACCAACACAAATAAAACAGAGAAAAAAAGAGGAAAGAAGAGGAGAAGAAAAGAAAAAAGAAAAGAAAAAAGAGAGAAGAGGTGGGAGGAAGAGAGAAGAGAGAGAGAAGAGAAAAGAAAGAAGAAAGAAAAAAAAAGAAAAAAAAAGAAAAGAGAGAAGGAACCCAAGAAAGAAAACACCACACACACGAGAAAGAACAGAAAGGAACGAGAGAAACAAATAAGAGAAATAACAAAAAAAAAGAGCAAAAAAAAACAAACCAACAAACAGAGAAAGCAGACAAACACAAAAAAGAAAGACCAGAGAAGCAAGCCAGGGACAAGAAAAAACAAAACAAAACCACAAAATAGAAAAAGAAAAACAACAACAGAAGCAAAAAAAACAACAAAAAACCCAAAACCACCAGCCAAACAAGGAACCGAAAGAGAAGAGAGAGAGAGCGAAAGAAGGAGAAAGGAGAACGAAAGAAGAGAAAAAAGAGAAACATGCAAGCACAAAAAGAAACCCAAGAAAGAGAACCAAAAGCGAGAACAAAGAAAGGAAGAAGACGAGAGAATAATAAACGACAAGGAGAAACCCAAGCACAGACAACACAACATGAACCCAAAACCAGGCACAAGAACAAAGAAAATAACCCCAAACACAACCTACACCTAAAAAAAAAACAAAAGAAAAAAATCAATAAAAACAAACAGAAAGGGAGTCATCTCACAAGACTGCAAACGATGGACCAAAGACGAAATCATCAAGCAGACAGCCACTTTACAAACGCCGAATGCTGAAAATAGAGTTAAAATGAGGTAATCTCGATTCGGCCTTTCACCCCATTGGACTCTAACGGAATATTGAAGCCTCAGAAGGTTTCCACACGGTCACACAGCTCCGAAATCCCGGTGAAGGATATGTCCTACGAACTAGAAAGAGGGAACCCTGACCACCAGAGGAAAAGGCGTTATGTGTTGTGTAAGGTGGCTTTCTCTGGCTTGGCTTTGTATTATTATTATCATTTTTTGATTTACTCGTTGTCTTAGTTTGTGTTGTCCAATCGATTTCCTTTCTCTCTCTTAAATCATATATACTCATCTGACTAAATGCTAACTCACCTTCCTCACATAACATTTCTAACTTTCTTTCTTTCTTATTCTCTATCTCTCTTAATTCTTCCTCAATCTCTTTATCAACTATCTCTCTCTCTCTCTCGTACATCTCTCTCTCTCTCTTCTCTCTCTCTATCTCTCCTCTCTCTCTCTCTCTCTTCTCTCTCTCTC